AGGTTCTTTCAAAATTAAGACAGTGGGTGGGTGCCCCTGAGATTCTCTAAAACACTTCTAAAACAAAACGTCTAAAGCCCTTGGAGATTACTTCAATTCTTTCAAAACCAAAACTCCAGGTGGCGTTGATATTGTTCAAAACAACTTCAAAAATAATCGTTTTAGACAGTGAATTCTTTAATTTTTTTTTAATTGAAACACCTGTAGGTTTAAAAAAACACTGGGTGGGTGCCCCTGAGATTCGTTAAAACTACTTCAAAAACAAGACGTCTGGAGACCTTGAAAATTATTTAAATTCTTAAAAAAATAAAACACCAGGAGCACTCTTCATTCTTTCAAATCCTGCCAAAAATACCAGGTGCCCCTTAGATTCATCGAAACTACTTTAAAAACAATCATCTGGTGCCCCTGAGATACTTTAATTTTTTTTTAACTACTTCAAAAACAAAACGTCTGGAGCCCTTGAAGAATGTTTAAATTCTCTAGAAAATAAAACATCAGAAGCTTTGAAATTCTTTCAAAAACAAAATACTAGGTGCCACTGAGCTTCCCTAAAACTACTTCAAAAATAAACATCTGAGATACCGGAGATTCCTTAAATCTACTTCAAAAGCAAACGTCTGAGGCCCCTGGATTCTTTAAAATTACTTCGAAAACAAAAATTTGAACCCCTGAGAAGCTTAATTGATTTTTTTTCTAATTAAAACAACTGTAGCCTTCTAGGTTCTTTCAAAATTAAGACAGTGGGTGAATGCCCCTGAGATTCTTTAAAACTACTTCTAAAACAAAACGTCTGGAGCCCTTGAAGATTATTTAAATTCTTTGAAAAGTAAAACACCAGAAGCACTCTACAATCTTTCAAGTCCTCCAAAAAATACCAGGGGCCCCTTAGATTCATCAAAACTACTTCAAAAACAACCATCTGGTGCCTCTGAGATACTTTAATTTTTTTTAACTACTTCAAAAACAAAACATCCGGAGCCCTTGAAGAATGTTTAAATTCTCTAGAAAATAAAACATCAGAAGCTTTGAAATTCTTTCAAAAACAAAATACTAGGTGCCACTGAGCTTCCCTAAAACTACTTCAAAAATAAACATGTGAGACACCGGAGATTCCTTAAATCTACTTCAAAAACAAACATCTGAGGCCCCTGGATTCTTTAAAACTACTTCAAAAACAAAAATTTGAACTCCTGAGATTCTTAATTGATTTTTTTTTTTTAATTAAAACACCTGTAGCCTTCTAGTTTCTTTCAAAATTAAGACAGCGGGTGGGTGCCCTTGAGATTCTTTAAAACTACTTCTAAAACAAAACGTCTGGAGTCCTTGGAGATTACTTCAATTCTTTCAAAACCAAAACTCCAGGTGGCGTTGGTATTGTTCGAAACTACTTCAAAAATAATCGTTTGAGACCCTGAATTCTTTATTTTTTTTAATTGAAACGCCTGTAGGTTTAAAAAAAAACACTGGGGGGGTGCCCCTGGAATCTTTAAAAAAACCACTTCAAAAACAAAAATTTGAACTCCATTTTTTTTTAATTAAAACACCTGTAGCCTTCTAGGTTTTTTCAAAATTAAAACACTGGGTGGGTGCCCTTGAGATTCTTTAAAATTACTTCTAAAACAAAACTTCTGGAGCCCTTGGAGATTACTTCAATTCTTTCAAAACCAAAACTCCAGGTGGAGTTGATATTGTTCAAAACTACTTCAAAAATAATCGTTCGAGACCCTGAATTCTTTAATTTTTTTTAAATTGAAACACCTGTAGGTCAAAAAAAAACACTGTGTGGGTGCCCCTGAGATTCGGTAAAACTACTTCAAAAACAAGACGTCTGGAGACCTCGAAAATTTTTTAAATTCTTTAATAAATAAAACACCAGGAGCACTTTACATTCTTTCAAATTCTGTCAAAAATACCATGGGCCCCTTAGCTTCATCAAAACTACTTCAAAAGGAACCGTCTGGTGCCTCTGAGATACTTTAATTTTTTTTAAACTACTTCAAAAACAAAACGTCCGGAGTCCTTGAAGAATGTTTAAATTCTCCAGAAAATAAAACATCAGAAGCTTTGAAATTCCTTCAAAAACAAAATACTAGGTGCCACTGAGCTTTCTTAAAACTACTTCAAAAACAAACGTGTGAGACGCCGGAGATTCCTTAAATCTACTTCAAAAACAAACATCTGAGGCCCCTGGATTCTTTAAAACTACTTCAAAAACAAAAATTTGAACTCCTGAGATTCTTAATTGATTTTTTTTTTTAATTAAAACACCTGTAGCCTTCTAGGTTCTTTCAAAATTAAGACAGTGGGTGGGTGCCCTTGAGATTCTTTAAAACTACTTCTAAAACAAAACGTCTGGAGCCCTTGGAGATTACTTCAATTCTTTCAAAAGCAAAACTCCAGGTGGCGTTGATATTGTTCTAAACTACTTCAAAAACAATCGTTTGACACCCTGAGTTCTTTAATTTTTTTTCAATTGAAACACCTCCAGGTTTAAAAAAACCACTGGGTGGGTGCTCCTGAGATATGTTAAAACTACTTCAAAAACAAGACGTCTGGAGATCTTGAAAATTATTTAAATTCTTTAAAAAATAAAACACCAGGAGCACTCTACATTCTTTCAAATCCTGCCAAAAATACCAGGTGCCCCTTAGATTCATCAAAACTACTTCAAAAACAATCATCTGGTGCCTCTGAGATACTTTAATTTTTTTTTTTTAACTACTTCAAAAACAAAACGTCTGGAGTCCTTGAAGAATGTTTAAATTCTCTAGAAAATAAAACATCAGAAACTTTGAAATTCTTTCAAAAACAAAATACTAGGTGCCACTGAGCTTCCTTAAAACTACTTAAAAAATAAACGTCTGAGGCCGCCGGATTCTTTAAAACTACTGCAAAAACAAAAATTTTGACTCCTGAGATTCCTAATTATTATTATTATTGTTTTTTTTAATAAAAACACCTGGAACCCTGTAGGTTCTTCCAAAATTAAAACATTGGGGGCTGCCCCTGAGATTCTTTAAAACTACTTCAAAACCAAAACGTCTGGATCCCTTGAAGATTATTTCAATTCTTTAAAAAATAAAACACCCGAAGCCTTCTATATCCATTCAAATCCTGTCAAAAACACCAAAACCCCCTAAGATTTTTTAAGTAGTTTTAAAAAAATCTTAGACTTGGTTTTATTTCTGAAAGAACCTAGAGAGCTCTTGATGTTAGAAGAATCTCAAGGATCTGAGACGTTTGGTTTTGAAGTAGTTTCCAAGAACCTAAAAGAATTTTTATTTTTGAATGAATTTGAATACTACTAGTGTTTTAAATTATTTCAACAATCCCTGAGGTGCCAGATATTTGTTTTTGAAGTAGTTTTCACAAACCTCAGGGGCCCCTGGTGTTTTTGATAGGATTTGAAAGAATGTGTAAAGCTCCTGGTGTTTTATTTTTTAAAGAATTTAAACAATCTCAAGAGCGTCCAACATTTCTTTTAATTTTGAAGGAACCTAGATGGCTCCAGGTGTTTTAATTAAAAAAAATCTCAGGGGTTTAAACTTTTAATTTTGAAGTAGTTTTCAAGAATCTCAAGGATAGCTGGAGTTTTGGCTTTGAAAGAATTTGAACGCTCTTGGAGTTTTATTTTTTAAAGAATACACCAGAAGTTTTTAAAAGAATAATACACTGTATTGGTGCCCCTGAGATTCTTTAAAGCTACGTCTGGAGCCGTTGAAAATTATTTCAATTCCTTAAAAAATAAAACACCAGGAACACTCTACATTTTTCGCAAGTCGTGTCAAAAATACCAGGGACACCCGAGATTATTAAAACTACTTCAAAAACAAAACATCTGGAGCCCTTGAAGATTATTTAAATTCTCTAAAAAATAAAATATCAGCAGCTTTGAAATTCTTTCAAAAACAAAATACCAGGTGCTACAGAGCTTCTTTAAAACTACTTCAAAAATAAACGTCAGGGACGCATGAGATTCCATAAATCTACTTCAAAAACAAAACTTCTAGAATCCTCTATGTTCTCTAAAAAATAAAACACTGGATGGGTGTCCCTGTGATTCTTAATTAAATAAAAGATAATAAAATTGCTAACAGGAATGTTGCTGGTTAGATTGACTCCTGGGTCACTTTTTTTTCTTAATTAGGAAAGATTCACTCCATTTTCTCGAAATTTTGAGAATACAGTAATGTTGTGCTCTCCTATATTTATTATAATAGCTAATAATAATAGCTACTTACCCAAAATTATATATTCAGAACATTTTTCAAGCAGTATAATTCATCTTGAAATAGTGTCACAGTAACTAACAAATCCCACAGCATAAATCTTTTTTGCTACGAAACAGTTCCACGTCGTCAAAATAAAATACTGTAGAGTCATTTGTGAAGTTTGTAAACTGTCAACATGACACGACCACACACTGTATACAACATGGTAGGCAGACAGCCATGAATGGATTTATGACCGTGTTTACCATTTTTCGTCATAGAGTGTAGCTAGTAAAAGATATTTGCATCCAACTTTCAGGGATTTTAACAGTGATAATTCAGACCCTAATAAAAAGTCAATCTTTCACAATTCTCAGCCTGACAACTTGGCTTACGATGCTAATTTATTATGTAAGTACCTCTGGTAAAATTCATGTACATTGTTGAAGCTTTTTTGAAAATTAACCCAGACACTTCTGTAATCATAGACATCTATTACATTTTTAAGGTGTAGTGTTCTGACCCCAAAATCATCAAAATTAAACAGACGTCAAAATCGATACAAATCCGAAATCTCGCGGCAGAGTTCATCGAGGGTCTGCAAAACTTTGCTAGTTAAAACTTCATAAACTTTGCAATAAATATTAACGTGGTATTTAAAGGTCAATCGATGATTTAATTTGCTTCCTTTAAATAAAATCGTGCTTTCGACGAAAACCAACTTCGCAGCCGTTTTTTCCAACTTTCTTTTATATTTGTGTTTTAAATTGTTATTGATGCTAAAAGATGGGCGAAACGTTCTAAAACTAAGCAACGTTTTCTGCGCTATTTATATCACCCGGATGGGCAACCAGCAGTCGTCAAGAGTACGCCGCCAGCTCCACCTGCACTTTTTACGACGCACTTTACAATGGGGTCAGACGTGCCTCGGCCAGCATTTAAAACATTGAGCAGGTCGTTAAATGGTCATCTATCGATCCCGAATTTCGTTCCTAAGCACACGTGCACATAAGTGGATTTTTCGATAATTGGCTTTGTTATGGTACGAAACGAGCAAATTGACAATGTTTACCTAATTTCCGTCGCGGCAGGGAATCAATAAAAACACTTATTTAGTGAGCGACACATGCATGAAATGAATTAACGTGGGAGGAGATTGGGGGCAATTATTGAGTATTGTCGTGGCGGGGAATTAATTCGCTTATTCGCTGGAAGAGGAGATAATTAGGGATTTGTTGTGAAAGGGATGGAGTTTTTTCTCCGCTTTGTGTATTTACTAATGGATTATTTATACGCAGCGGCCTTGGGTGGAGGGCGGGTTTTCCTGACGGGGTATCGTATCATGTGCGGGGTGTCTATTTAGATTATTTATGACGATTTCGTGATATTGGACGATGGTAGGAATATGGGGATGGCGGGTTTGTGGTTGGTTAATTTGGCACTCCACTGGGTTCTCAAATTTGAACCTGACACGTCATGACATTGATTACAGTCATAGATATTTAATAATAATTTTATTAAAGTTCTCACACGAACCTGAAGCGTGACGTGACTTCGGGGATTTCAGCAACTGAGAAAGATATTATAGCGTCTTTTCACGTAAAGATTTGGTTATACGATTTTACACATACGTGGTCTTGTTTTGAAGGAATATGAACACCCAAAGAAAAAATGGTAATTTTATAGAATGTTTAAGAAATCTAAAAATATTTGACCTACCGTAGATACTTGGCGTGGTAGAAGATAGACGACTGAGGACATATTTAGAAGAATATAGAGGGTTTCTATAAATGATCGAAATAGGTCATGAATACGTGTCGCCTCTCAGATTTGAACTTTACTAAATGCCTCTGTATAACTGGTTATCTAAACGTTTCATCTCTTATTAAAAAATAAAACGAATTCATTACAATAAAAAGAAACAAATTGATTGCGGTTAAACATCACAGTAAATGTTCTGTAATCCTTTCGTAAATACCCATTGTTCAATTTCATGTTGCAACAGGAACTCCTGACTGCTGAGGAAATCTTGTCAAAGATGTTTGCGGATTCTGCTCAAGTCGTCTTAAATCATCAACAACTTCCTCAGATACTAAAGATCTTCCAGAAGATTTCCCTTTTTTGACACTGAAGAAAATTCGTTTATAGTGGATGTTCCAAAAAAGACTCAACAGCTCGATGGGACGTTGTTATACAATAATTTGCTAGAATATAGTCAAAAACGTAATTTTTTCTGTTGACAAATGTCATTTTTGACAATTTTTATCGGAATTTTAGACTGTCAATTAAATTCAGATATTCGTCCAATTCATCCTAACATTTTTTTTCCTGTGGATGAAAACAAGATACCTACAAAATTGTTTTGAATAGTGGAAGTCTAATTGATTTCATGTATCCAACACTAAGTAGTGAATTAGAATATGGTAAAATATTGAAAATAAAAGTCAAATTTTGAAATTATTTTTTCTCTGTGCTATAAATAGTCCTCAAGAACTTGTCATAGAGTTGGTATGCCATTTTTTCACCACCCTGTATACAGACATGTCAAATTACGATGTTATTATTTCTTCAACTTAAGTTTAAGTTGAAGTTTAAAAACATTTTCAAAAATTTCGTTCAGGAATTTTTTAACCGTTTTTTCCAGTTCTTTAGAGCCTTCTTAACAACGTACCATCGAGCTTATCTGTCACTTTTTGATCACCCTGTATACTTGGAGTGATAGAAGACAGATGACTGAGGATATAGATACGTATTTTGAAGAATGTAGAAGATCTCATTCGGAAAACTTTAAAACAAGGGTAAAGAGAGATTCTAGGGAAATTTTTACAAACTTCAATTCTTCAAATTTGAAGTTTAATATTTTTAAGAATTTGGTTCAGGTTTTTTTAACCAATTATTTCGAGTGCTTCAATCCCTCCTTAACAACGCACCATCGACCTTACCTGCCATTTTTTTGATCGCCCTGTATATTTAGAATAGAAGGTAGGTGACTGAGGATATAGATATTTAGAAGGATGTACAAGATCTCATCCGGAAAATTATCAAAAAAGGTGAAGAGAGATTTTTGACAAAAATTTTTAAACTTCTATGTACTGCTGCAAATAATAGAATTGGTAATTTGTTCAAAAGTTGTCGAAAAATTCCCAAAAAATTCTGGGAAGTACATTTCAAGGAGGTGATTCGAAAAATGTAACTGGTTAATGAGTCTTTTACCACGATTTTTGAAAAATTCGCTTCGAAAACGGGATTATTAGAATATCTCGAAAATTTTCATTTCTAGTTTTATCGATTTTGGAAAAACTGTTGAAATTTTCGAAAACATGAAGCCGAAAATAACTACTGCAAGTTGAAATCTACAAAATATGGCCTCTAGGCAACTTTCAAACAGTCCTCGGAAAAGGGTTAAAAACTCATACAATCAAAAATAGAGATTTTTGAAAAGTTGTCCAAAAATTCCCAAAAAATTCTGGGAAGTACATTTCATGGAGCTGATTCGAAAAATATAACTGGTTAATGAGTCTTGTACCACGATTTTTGAAAACTTCGCTTCGAAAACGGGATTACTAGAATATCTCGAAAATTTGTATTTCTAGTTTTATCGATTTTGGAAAAACTGTTGAAATTTCCTAAAAAATGAAGCCGAAAATAACTACTGCAAGTTGAAATCTACAAAATATGGCCTCTGGGAAATTTTCAAAGAGTCCTCGGAAAAGAGTCAAAAACTCATACAATCAAAAATAGAGATTTTTGAAAAGTTGTCCAAAAATTCCCAAAATATTCTGGGAAGTACATTTCATGGAGCTGATTCGAAAAATATAACTGGTTAATGAGTCTTGTACCACGATTTTTGAAAACTTCGCTTCGAAAACGGGATTACTAGAATATCTCGAAAATTTGTATTTCTAGTTTTATCGATTTTGGAAAAACTGTTGAAATTTCCTAAAAAATGAAGCCGAAAATAACTACTGCAAGTTGAAATCTACAAAATATGGCCTCTGGGAAATTTTCAAAGAGTCCTCGGAAAAGAGTCAAAAACTCATACAATCAAAAATAGAGATTTTTGAAAAGTTGTCTAAAAATTCCCAAAAAATTCTGGGAAGTACATTTCAAGGAGCCGATTCGAAAAATATAACTGGTTAATGAGTCTTGTATCACGATTTTTGAAAAATTCGCTTCGAAAACGGGTTTATTAGAATATCTCGACAATTTTCAGTTCTAGTTTAATGGATTCTGGAAAAACAGTTGGAATTTCCCGAAAAAATGAAGCCGAAAATAACTATTACAAGTCGAAATCTATAAAATAGGTCCTCTAGGCAACTTTCAAAGGGTCCCTGAAAATAGGTCAAAAATTCATACAATGAAAAACAGAGATTTTTGAAAAGTTGTCTAAAAATTTTCAAAAAATTTTGAGATATATATTTCAACGAGCTGATTCAAAAAATATAACCTGTTGATGGTCCTTAGCTAATATTTTCCAAAAATTCGGTTAGAAAATAGGATTTTTAAATACTTGGAAAATCATTTTAACATTTTATCAATTTTGGGAAAATTGATTAAAAAGTCTAAATCTACAAGAAAATGTGTTAAGGTAATTTTCAAAGAGCGTTTGAAAAAGGGTTTAAATAAGTATTCATTTTGAAAAATTAAAAATTTTGGAAAGTTGATTAAAAATTTTTAAAAATATTGACCAGTTGATTTTAAAAACATATTTGTTCATGGTTCTAGCCCCAAATTTTCGATAAATTGGTTTGAAAATGGTATTTTTAAAATACATGAAAAATTGTCATCTTTCAGTTTATCGATTTTGGGAAAATTGTTTAATTTGTCGAAATCTACAACAAAATATCTTGAAGTAATTGTCGAAGAATGTGAAAACAATGACACTAAAACCGGATGAAGAGAATGAAGAAAAATAATGAAACAATGTCAAGATGAAGAACCAACAACAGATGAATCTTAAGGGGGAACGCTAGACGAGAGACAAGTTTGAATTGGGCGCCATTTGTTGCCTTAAACGCAACCAGCAATTCTTCTTTAAATTTACCTGACGCGCTGGGATAGACGACTACCGGACGTGGGTCATAAAAGTATCGTAAGCCGATAATGCAGATTAATGATAATTTATGACAGGCGGCCCACAACATACCATCAGCACAGAATAATCATTTCTCGTATTCTTTTGACATATTAATTTTAATATTCGAGATAATTATTATATTATTCAAACACAATTTAGACATTGTAGAGCAAACAAGGCTTATCAAGCCCGTCTATTAGTTTATTCGCCTAAATGAATTATTAATACCGTTTTCAAATTACACCAAAATTGAAAAATCGAAAACTTAATAATTGAAACATTGAAAAATTTTAAATGAAAAAAATCGGTAAACCGAAAAATTGAAAAATCTATAAATGGAGAAATTGAACAATCTAAAAATTAAACAATTTAAAAATTGAAGAATTGGAAAACCAAAAAATCTAAACCGAGAACCTGAAAAATCGAATAATCGAGAAATCAAAACATCAAGGAAAACAAAAAAATTAACGGAATATCTAGAACTTAAAAATTGAAAAATTAAAATACCTATCGAAAAATTGAAAAACCGAGAAATCGAAGTATCAAAAAATGGAAAAATTGAAGAGCCGAAACATTGCAAAATCGCAGAACTGAAATACTGAAAAACTGAAAAATGGAAGGAAAATTGAAAAATCGAAAAAGTGAAAAAATTCAAAACTGAAATCTTGAAAAACTGAAAAATGGAAAGAAAATTGAAGAATCGGAAAAGTGAAAAAATACAAAACTGAAACATTGAAAAATCCAGAAATCGAAAAATTGAAAAATCACAATTGAAGAAAGAATTGAAAAATCAAGAAATAGAGAAATGGGAAAATCAAAAAATCAGTTAATCGAAAAATTTAGAAACGTCAAAAATTGAAAACTGAAAAATAAAAAAATTTAAAAATCGTAAAAGTGAAATATCGTAAAGTTAATAAATTAAAAAACTGAAAATT